AATTTTGAACTTTGAACACGATTTGAGCCAATCGGCACGGTGGGATTTTGTGGGAATTTGGGCTGGAGACTCCTTAGACATGCTATAAACGATCCCCAAAGTTTGGTACTGTTCGGAATTTTGTCTAGGTCAGGGGGTTATTTTGCACAATTTGACTGTACTATTGATAATTTCTCCATTTAGCGCAACATACTTATTTGCAGGAATTTCTGCAAGTAAGGTCATCAGTGCTATTTGTAGGAAATTCCTGCAAATAGACACGCCCCAAGCAGAAGATCTTGCAGAGCTGCTTTCTGCTTGTTTGTCTTGGAATTAAATAGGCTACCCATGTTATGTAATACCGATAGGTGGCATATTAGGTTTTGTCTAAAATGATGTTGGCCTTTAAGAAACTGTCATGGTTTGCCGGAACCCCAAGCAGGTTATGTTTTATTACTGAACATAATAGGCTTGGTAAACTGAAACATTCATTCCGGTGAGAATTGCTCTGAAAATGAAAATCATACCACAGCTTTCGCTTTCGCCAATCAGTCTTGCATTAACCTTAATTTTCAGAACATTGACAACTGATTCTTCAAATAATTGCTTTGATGTGGTTGTGGTTGGAGGTGGAATTGTTGGTGTTGCCTCAGCCAGAGAGCTGATGTGCCGATATCCAAACCTCAAGGTAGCGATCGTGGAAAAGGAGAATCAATTAGCTGCTCATCAAACAGGACATAATAGTGGAGTCATACATGCAGGTACTTTTCATAATTCTCATTTGTCTTCTGTTACCACCATAGCACAAGTAACATTCATTTTCTATCAACTTTTTAACGCCTTACAGGAATTTATTACAAGCCAGGGACACTTAAGGCAAAACTTTGTGTCGAAGGACTTCATTTAACTTATGATTTCTGTGATAAACACAATGTTCCATACAAGAAAGTTGGAAAACTGATTGTTGCGAGAGATCGGTCTGAAGAAGCTCGGCTTTTGGACCTATATGATAGAGGACAGCAAAACAATGTTCCTGAGCTGAGATTAATTGATTCTAAAGAAATTAGGGAGTATGAACCGTTTTGCCAAGTGAGCCTACATGCAAATTTTGATAGAATGATGGATTTCTGTGAAAAATTATTTTTATATCTCTCATCCTAATTTAACAGGGCTGGAAAGCATTACATTCTCCTCATACAGGAATAGTAGATTGGGGACTTGTGACAGAATACTATGGAAAAGACTTTAAAAAAAGAGGAGGAGAAATATTTTTAAACTTCCATGTGACAGATTTTAATGAAGCTGTCGACACTCATGGTGGGCTGTACCCTATCAGAGTTTCTGACAATAGTAAAGTAATATTCTTATATTTAATTCAATGAAAAGCAGTGTTTGTAAACGTTTTTATTCTGTTAAGTTAAGTTACTGTTCTTGTGATTTCAGAGTATTAATGCCAGGTATGTCTTAACTTGTGGTGGATTGCATTCCGATAGACTGGCAAAATTATCAGGCTGCAACCCTGTGCCACAGATTGTACCTTTTAGGGGAGAATATTTATTGCTCAGCAAAGAAAAACAGCACATGGTAAAAGGAAACATATATCCGGTAAGCAAAACCAAAAGAACTGCACTAAATATTAAAATCAGTTCCACTTTATTTTTAAATCTAAAAATTGTTATACAATATTTGTGATTTTGTGTCAGTTTTGCTCTATGATATTTACATTTTCTTATCTTAAATTATACCTTGCAGGTACCAGACCCACGGTTCCCTTTCCTTGGTGTTCATTTCACTCCTCGTATGGATGGGAGCATTTGGTTGGGGCCAAACGCAGTCTTAGCTTTTCAAAGAGAAGGATACAGGTATGATGCTACACAAGGTTGCTATCTGAAACAGTATTCAATAAACAGCGCCGTTTTAAAACACAAAGAAAATAACATGTTTTTTCTCTTTTAGGTGGAGTGACATCAATATGAAAGAGTTGATTGAAACATTAAAGTTCCCTGGCTTTAGAAATGCTGCTGCTAAACATATTACATTTGGATGCTCTGAAATGCTTCGTTCAGTCTTTATTCAGCTCCAACTGAAAGAGCTTAGGCGTTTCATCCCTAACATTGAGGCATCTGACATTTCTAGGTATTTCATAATTCAGTAATTGGAATCATTTAAAGAAAATAAACAGGTGTAATTGTAAATATTTTTAATTTGTGATCCTAGGGGACCATCTGGTGTGCGAGCTCAAGCAATGGACTTAAGAGGCGAGCTGGTCGATGATTTTGTGTTTGATTCAGCACCAGCAAGTGCCAAAAGTCAGTTAGGGCCAAGAATATTGCATTGTCGCAATGCCCCATCTCCCGGAGCCACATCTTCCCTTGCTATAGCAAAAATGATTGTAGACAAACTCAAAAAAGAATTCAACCTGTGATATACTTTTATAATCAATAGAAAAATAAAATATTTTTTTATTATTTTTACTCATATTATCCAGATGTTCTGCAAACGATTTTCCTTTATTAAACCAATACAAGTTCAGTAGCCTCCCCCAGCCAGAAATTGAAAGTTGACTCAACGTTGAATCGACATCTCCGTTGATAGTACGTCAAAATTTGGATCATATCATATGTTGATTCAACATTTACTTTAATAAACGTCAATGCATTTTTGGCTGGGCTCACACACCTTATTGCAGATTCTTGAAATCTTTTTTTGAGAAGCTTATAGAAAGTACATCTATTGAAGAAAATGACGCCATAGAAATTTTAAAGTGCTTCAGCAGTAAACAAAAATTTGTTTCGTTTCGCAATCCGTTACCCCCTGCCTTTATCCTTAGCTTTATCCTTTATTCTGCTTCAAATCTTATTCAAATCGAACCCGCCTAAGTCATCTCTGCTACCAACGTAACATTGAGCATCCTTGTATATCTATGAGGTAAATCAGTCTTCTCATCCGTAAATGGCGAGAAATTTTTAAATCTGAAAGTTTCAGTCAGCAGTCGTCTGAATATAGATGGAAAAGCATCAATCATTTCTCTTTCTCATGAGCCACCAAATTGTGAATTAGAAGGTGGCTATTTCTCTGACCAAAACACGTCCTGACGTCACATGGCGTAGTGAGGCAGGCAGGTGTGTGAGTGAGAAAGTGTAGTGGTTCATTGTCTTGCTTGTACTGTACCTGCTGAATTTTTGTCCCTGCAGATTTGGGGAAAGACATGAGAATGAAATAGTGGTCTATATTCTTAGTGTTTAGACATAGGATTTCTCGTAAGTACTTTCATCTGTTTAACACCCTTTTAGACTTCTATGTATTGCAAGTGTCTCATCTAATTCCACAGAATGACCTACTTGCTCTATATAGCACCATCTGTCAAGGTCTAGGCACGCAAACAAATCATATGGCTTTGAAGTTATCTTAAGCTGGAAGTTCAATGTCTCTTTTTCATCTACTCTTTTCGATGTATAGTAATTTAGTTATGTCAACGACTTTGATCCGACCCTAACCTAGTAGGTTAGAGCCACAGATTTGGTTTGTGTGCATCTGATTCTTTTGGCATATGGACCACATATACCTCTCACAATAATACACTATTTTCTAGGGTATTTTACTGAAGTATGTGTCATGACAAGTCTGTTTTAATGTAAATTATTAGAATCATGGTGTGGAACCTGACAGTTGATTTTAACTATCAATTTGTGTGAAACACAATCCTTTCATATTATTATTACAGGTGGTAGTGATATATCCTGAATGCTGCCATGGGGCTCCTCTTCACCAAAATCTGGAGCCTGTTTGGGAATGAGGGTAAAGCTTAGGTATCAATTTTTTCCATCAAACACATTATATATTTTTCACACTAATTTATTTATTTCTGTAGAACACAAAATTGTCATTGTTGGTCTAGACAATGCAGGAAAAACAACCATTCTCTATCAATTCTTGATGAATGAAGTTGTGCATACATCCCCTACCATTGGGTCTAACGTGGAAGAAGTAGTGTGGAAAAATATTCATTTTATGATGTGGGATCTTGGTGGCCAACAAAGTTTGAGGGCTGCATGGAGTACTTACTACAGTAATACCGAGGTGTTTTTCTATGCTTTGTTCTTGATGTAGAATTTATTGTTACAATTTCTAAACCATTCTAATGAAATATTTTTTCTACCAGTTTGTCATAGTTGTCATAGATTCAACAGATCGTGAACGCTTAACTGTAACACGAGAAGAGTTGTATCGCATGCTCAGTCATGAAGATCTTTCAAAGGCAGCTGTACTTATTTTTGCTAACAAACAAGATCTTAAAGGATCTATGTCTGCAGCAGAAATCTCAAAACAGCTTGATCTTACTTCAATCAAGAAACAGCAATGGCATATTCAATCTTGCTGTGCACTAACAGGGGAAGGGTAAGAAATATTGATTACATCTGTTTCCAATATCAATCTAATGTTTTGAAAAGATACCTTAAAATGCTTTAACTTCTCATGTGTTGCAGCCTTTATCAAGGACTGGAATGGATTTGCAGTCGTCTCAAAAAGAAGTGATACGAGTTATAAAGCATCTGTAGTTCTTATGTGCCTTCTGTGTGAATGCAAGAGTTTCGGTTTGAGGTCTTCCACAATTGGAGCTTATGAAAGTGAAAATAAGATATTGCGTGTATGTATGTATGTGCAGTTGTGCTGAACAATGTGTGAGTGGTTTCATTTGTTGTATACATTTAAGGTGATAAATCAATTTTATGCTGACATGTGATGTAAATGTCACTATCCGAGGAAAAGTTGATAAAATTGTAGATACAATCTGAAGAATTATTTGCAACTTTTACTATCTAGTTCCAAAGTTGCTTCAGTTGAATTTTTTATCTATCAACCTATGAAGTAACTATTTCTTTTTTAAATGGAGTTTGTTTGACTTTTCTTCCCCAATGAACATTGGTTTTGGTTAAATGGTTTATCTTAAACTACATTTCAACTTTGTTGCACATTTTCTCCTCAAGACTTCAATGTGTTATATATTTCAAACAGTTCAGTCTGTATTTAAAAGTAAGTGTAATGTGGTTATTTATTTTTTAATACCAACTGTCTGCACATATTATACCAATCCCGTAATGCTCAAGGGAACTTCCTACGGTTATGACCATGACCTTGGTCCATCCATTTAAATTTAATAAGGTGAATTGAAATGCTGAGCCTGCAACTCTAATTATTTTTTTGGGCCATAGAACTGTAAAACATTCCACTTCAGGTTTTGGAAAAATAAGTTGCAAATTTTGAGTGTATAACCATATCAAGTATTGCTTGACATCTCATATTGATAACACAAAGGCTTAGTTTGAAATTGTTATAGGCTGTGATGTATTTTGAGTAGGAGTGGGAGATTTTAGGTAGTACTGAAAGATTTAATTCTCTTTTTTGTTCTGGCTTTGGCTGAACCATTTTCTTAACTTTCCCCAAGTGATTTTTTATCTTTGTGCTTCTATTGATTTCTTTCCTTAAATGTTCTTTATCTGTTTGGTCAAAGCTTTGGAATTAGTTGAGAGTAAATGGAAATATTCCCTTTCAAAATCTACACGCTACATCAGCTACATTTTAGTTTAGGTTAATGTTTATGGTACTTTTCCTTCAGCATTATCTTGTTGACACATCACTAGAATGGTGATTTGATAAACACTAGAACCTATTATGAATTTTCATTTTACCGTATTGTAAGCAATTCAGTTAAATATGTAAGAACTTTTAGATGACTTACCGTATGTTGTTCTGTTCAGTAGTACTTTTCTTAAATAGAAATGGGCAGCTGTTATTTTTGTCTTGATTATTTTTGAATGCTCAGTTTAGCATTAATAATTTGAAATTATCCTGAAGGATTTTAGTGTGAACTGAAACATACTGACTTACATTGAACTGGTAATCATCAAAACTTGTATGTTATCTTTGTTGGTGTAGTTTTAGGTAAACATAAATAGCAGTTCTTCTTCTGAAGGATTTTTCATTGCCTACTGGAAACAGATTTACTTCAGCCCTGACCGCTGCTTGTGCAACCAGGAGGATGATACTGATAATACTTTCAAAATCTTCTTTTCTTTAGGTCTCAAAGCCAAACATTTTTTTTTTCTTTTTCTTTTCATTTTACTGCCACTCTTTATCTCTTTACCTGCTCTTGAATCTTTTCAGACTTTTTTGTATTAGTGCTTGATTTAAGTTTATAGTTTTTGAAACCAGTAATTTTAGATGTGTGTTGTAGATGTCAGCCCTATGCAGGGGTTATCTGTGATGCATTCTTGTGTACAGTACTGTTGATGAATATGTAAACTTTTAAAATGCTGCAGGAGATTGATTGTTCACCACTGTTCCATGTCTTGTTTAGGAGAAATTTTATTACAGATGGTCACCTTGACTCAACTCTGTTTCTCATGTTACCAATTTTTATGTCTAGTGATAGAGAGTTAGAGTTGATGGGTCCATTAAAGTGTATAAATTACAAATAAGCAACCTATGTAAGTTAGGGATAAGGATCAGCCTTATAGCATGAGAACAGGAATGCAGCAATGCCCTCTGACTGATCCACTGATGACCATTTTGTGTCAAACATACATGTTTTTGGTAGTTAAATGACAGTCCCTTCTCCCGTAGTTAGTTAATGATAAAAGGTACAAACAAAACAAAATCTAAATGTAATTTTTAATTACATGGCTACAGAAAGGCAACAAATAGAAATATCACTAATTTGCATGAAAGCAGATTTTTTCTTTTGTCTCACGAAACTTTTAAGGCCCTCTCAGGCCAAATGTACTGACAGTGCCATTTTACAAAGTGTATGTTTTTCATGGATTGATGAATGTTACCAGTGGTTACCAGCTACTTTGAATCCTTATTAAGTAACTTTTCAGACGACACAAGTCAGAGGAGAGTACTTTGTTTATAGAGAAAACCTGGATATAACATACTGGGACCTCTGTCTCAAGTGATTCTTACTGTCCAGGTTTTGCTGTACCTTAACCAGCTCTCACATTTGTTTTTATTTTTATTTAATGTGGAAGATTTTGATGGTCAGACTTAGGAGATTGCTCCATTGTCAACGCTTCAACAGAGAATTCAAAGAAAATCTTGAATTTTGCATTTTTACGGTTGAATTGTATTTTTATATTACTGGTATTACATAAAAAAGTTTCTGGATTTAACCGTCCTAATCAGCTGTTCAAAATCTTACTATTGACATGAAATTTCAATTTGAATTGCCTTTTTATTATTGCTGTTTCTCTTTGAATTTAGTTGTGCTTCTTCAATCTGTTCCACTGCTTCTTACTATACTACAGAAGGGTTTTGACAAGGTTTTATTATTACTGGAAGTTGTTATGTGATTGACTTTGGTACAGAATATTGTGATATGTATAAATGAACTTAAAATATTCATCAATCAAGCCAATTTATAATTTCTCTCTATGCCTAGGGAGATTTGTATCTTATATTTGCTCTCAGAGACTAAGCTCATTAAACACTATATGAATATGATACTATTTGTGTCACATAACTAAATGAATTAATTAGGGAATTTCTCACATTGAGAAACTGTACTTTCCGTTGAAATATTCTTTTGTTTTACGCTCCAAAGAATTATTTAGAAGCCTTAATTCAGTTTTTCAACAATCCAATTTTGTGTGTTCAAATCCTGTGAAAATTTAGTTTACTTGTAACAACTTTTGATTACTTTGCTTTGCTATCAAATCGTTTTTGTTTAAATTCTCATCATCAGAACAATTTGGACCTTGGCTAAAATTAAGATTCTCTGATCGATTTTGTGTAACACTATTGTCAATAAAGATTATCTTTTAAATAATACCTTTTTGTCCCCAAAATTGGAATATTTCCCCACCAAAATACCCCACTTTGCGGATTTGAACCACCCTTATATCTGAACCTACTGCAGAAATAAATCCGCTCGGCATCGTAAATGCTCACGACTTCTCTGTTTGTAGCTACACAGTTGTCTACAACCCACACGGCCACCAAAGGACGTCCCTACTTGTGGCCACAAAATTGTGGCTACGATGCCGGCGGCCAGAGTTAGCTGAATCCGACCCGTCTATAGAACATCCTGCTTTTTCGGGTAATATGAAAACCGTAGCCTTTAAGGCGTAAACAGAAGGCAAGGACCTGTTCTGCACATAATCCCTGACAAGCCGAAAGGACCTGGACGCATAAAAACCAACCGGGATCTAAACTAACACAATGGGGCCCGGGGCCTGCCCCCCC